ATACAGGAAATCTAATTCTGTCTGAATCGGCCTAATGGACCCCATAAGTGATGACGTCACAACATGGCGCTCAGCTCCAAACAAAGCGTTGCTTGGACCGTTGTTACGAACAGACACAGAGGGGCTTGACGTGAGGTTAGAAATTTTCCCACAGAAAAGTAGACATTTTTTTTTTGTAAGCATTGATCTCGTCAACATCTGATCACTAAGACTTTTTTATCGTCTCTGTGTCATAAAGCGATGACAAAATCTGGCAATAAAATTTCACATAAGATTTTGCCTTGGTAACAGACGACTGAATGGCTTCGCGAGTTCAGTGGCTCTCTCTGAGGGAGTCCACGGAGTGTGCAGCACTCCGGAGACTCCCTCAAACAACTTCCAACTGACTTTTTATTGAAACGCGTTCCGGTATTTGTAGTAAAACTTTATCACAAAACAACACAAACAACCATCACAGAGCATGTTCAGGGCACAGCATTATCTTGCTCCCAGGTAAGCAAGTTCCTTTTCAGATAGAGCTGTCGAAGGCTTAGCGATACACGTGTCGCCTAAGTAATTATTGCGTTCAGCTTCTACAATTTCACGTGTTATCGTAGCCTCGCCTTTTTTTAATTATAACGCATCTACCAAATAGTGGAGCATAACTGCACGTCCTGCAATGCATGTCAACAAACCTACCGTTGTGTTTTCGCTCATTGTTACAGTGCTTGCCAAGCCCATCATTTAGGCATCGCCCCGTCTGCCCGACGTACTGCACCCCACAAGACAGCAAATTTCGATATACCATGAAATGTGGGGAATTCGACAAATTTTGTTCAGTGCTGCTTTTCGCATCCTTGTTTGGCAGGCACGTCAAGCATTGTTAGTTTCCACAATTTCATGAGCGCACTGGGCACCGAAAACACTACCTTTACACTTGACCGTAAAGCCGTTTTCTTCAAATTGTTCGACACGTGGTGAATATACGATATAACAACAACTTTTTCATTCTCTATCGCCAGATGGCTTCCACTGTTTTTCTTTGAGACAGTGATTTCCTGGAAGGCCTGCAGCAACCGGAACAAGGATGTGCTTGGAGTACCCAGCTGTGGCGAAACGCATTGAGTGCTGCTCAAGACCAGCAGAGGTTTTATGCTCAGTGGAATGTTTGAATGCTTTGTTAAGACAGAGGCTAACAATACTTATTTTGATCAACTTGGAGTTGGCTGAATGAAGAGGAAGCAGCGGCTTATGCGCACGCGGATGTGATCGTCGAGAAATAAAAAACCTGAAGTAAAGAAAACGCATTGTGTTTTCTACGGGCATCTCATGCGTGGCGTCGAGCGTGGAGAGGCATTACTTAAAAGTGGTCCTGGTTTTCGCAGTCTCTGCTTAAAAAGCGTTGGTATCGGGAGCAGTAAAAACTACGAAATCATCTACGCATCTAAAACTTCCTTTACTTTGGACCCTTGAAACCGGCTGCAAAGTGTGCTATCAAGGTGTTCGAATATATATCGCTGAGGACTGGCGCGATGCACTACCCGATACATATGCCCTGTTTTTGCAAGTAATGCTTGCCATCGTAGTTAATAAAAGTTTCTAAAGATAAGAAACTGAGGAATTCTAAAGAGCCACTTCTAGAAATACCCGATTTATTTTGAAAGGCTACAAGGCTTGTTCATTGACAAGTTTGGTGTGGTAGCTTTTCAAAATATGTCGGGGATGTTTAGCAGTGGTTTTTCAGAACTACTCAAATATATCGTATACTGAGTTCTTACGACTCCTTACCCTTTTAAGCAACCAAAAAATGGTGACCCGGACGCACGGTGTAAGATACATTTAGGTGATAACTCTCTCCCGACGCGGCGACCACATTATGTTCGGCGCCCAGAGCGCTTCAATCGCAAGGGGATAACTGGCGCCCAAGTATCGAATCCCACCCAAACCGACCGCTCCCGTTGTTGCTTCCAACAATGGTCCCGCCCCCAGTCCCTCGCTTACCACTTCTTGTTGTAGTGCACCGCCGCCACGCCGCCACCAAGTCGTCAGAGTCCGTAAATCTGTTTTCTCTTCCTTCTTCCTCTTCAGGTTAAGGCTCACCTTCGTGCGCGATGGCGGCACCTGTGATCGAATCAGCACCAAAGCAGAACGCAATGCCAGCCACTGGCAGCACACCACCACCACACAATGAAAAAGGCGAGCACTCTACGCCACCGACACCATGGCCCCCAAGCAGGGACTTCTTACCCACGATGCTCACACCCCAGCGCCCTCAGCGGCGGCGCGGAATTAACTACTCCTTGTTCGAGGCTAGCACCATACATAATCGGGTCACTCCCTCTTCGCGGGAAAAGCGGCGAGAGTCATCGCTTAAGTGTATTTGCTCGACCGTGCCCGGACGTGATTTGGACACGCCAGCTTCTCGAGCCCGTACATTTTTATGTACACTCTCGAGAACCTCTCGCAAGATTCAAGCGCAAGAACAAACTAACTTGGAGAGAACCAGCCATTGCAGAATTTTCGGCCATCAAAAAGGCACTCTCGACAGCAATGCTGTTCACTCGCTCTGACATTTATCATGGCTGACGCATCCGAGACCGCAGCAGGTGAAGTTCTACTGGAGTTCGAAGACGACCAAGGGCGTCCGGTGTCATTCTTCTGAAAACTATTTTCGCCAGCAGAAACAAGATACAGTACATTCGGTAGAGAGCTACTTGGACTGTTTCTTACTATAGAACACTTCCGCCATTTTCGGGCAGGTAGACAATTTTGTATTTGTTCAAATTAAAAGTTTTTGAGTTACGCGTTTCAATCTAACAACTTCAACCATACCTCATGAGAGTTACGTCATATTTCCATCGTGCCCGGAGTTACAACAAACTTAAAATTCGTATCGGGCAAAGACAACCCCGTCGCCCATGCGTTAGCTGGAATGCACATAAACGAGATCTCTTCAACTCGACAAGTAGTAGATTTTGCAGTTCTCGCTCGAGCCAAACAGGCGAACTGTGCATATCTAAAATATCCCTCACCCTTTAAGACGTCAACGTTCCTTACAGAAACAGAATGCTCGTTAGCGACGTTTCTACGGGCACACAGCGACAATACATGTCTACGGAGATCCCACACACTATGTTTTACGCACTGCATACTGTGCCACATGCTTGTACATGCGCTACCCAACGTTTAGTCACATTATGCTCTGTGTGGCAGGGCACCAACGCTGGTGTGAGGCCTCGGTCATAATCGTGTCCTCAGTGTAAAAAAAAAAAAAATGAAAGTTCATCAAAACACGATCACATCTCGCTGCATTCTTCATCAACCTGACACTCGCTTGGGCTATGCGGATCAGGACATCGTTGGACCATAACCATCATCGCAGGGTTTCCAGCTGTGGCGTAGCCAGGAATTTGTTTCGGGGAGAGCGCCCAGTGAGCGAAAAAGACGCCGGAGACTGTGCCCCTGTTTTCTCAACAGCGGTGGATGTTCATTCCGTGCGTTCGTGGTTTTCGCTAAGCGTGCTACTGACAGTGTGTGTGTGTCCTTCTGGTGCACCTGCTCGGTTTTATTTGTCGAATTATCGTACATCTAGGTATTTACGCAGCGACATTGTGAGTACTTTGAGAGATATTTTTTCGGCAAAGAACTCAGTTGCTTCTATTTGGTCTGATGGCTTTTGTCTGCAGCTGTGCAAATTGTTTCACTGGTATTGACCCTGTGAAATAAAGGCCTGGATCTTTCAGGCCTATATGAATTAGCCGCGTTTTATTTTGTTAACGAATTGTCCAGCATCTGTTAAACATACACCACCCACAATTCACAGGCTTCTTCCTGTCTGCCTTCCATTGACGTACGAAAAAAAAACGGTAAGTGATTTCTGGTAAATTATGGCTTTACTGGAAGGGAAGAGAGCCCCATAATTTAGTAAAATAATTTTTTACTGAAAATGAAATTCCAGTAAAAATATTTTTCAATTGGGAGTTATGACATTATACAATAATTCTTAGCCTGAAAAATTCACCACGCGTAAATCATGACGAATATGAACTCGGACCTATTCGCACAAAGCAAAAAAATAATGAGGATGATAGGACTAATATTGGTAATACGGAATACATGTCACACAGAGAGTTAAGCGCGATCCGTATGAGAAAGCACAATACTTTTAACACCTTGCTGAATCAACCTGGGACTGGGGTAGAGAAGCCACATCGAAACGTAGAAGAGACAAAAAATCTGAGACGTCGTCCTGTCTATTTTCTCTCTCGTCTCCGTTTTTTTTGTTTGTACTCAACCGTGCACCTGCACCACCTGCACCCTTACCATATTTTCCCTTTTAACGCATTTCCGCAGATATGAAAGAGTGAACTAAGAAGTGTGATGCCGGTGGTGACAACGTGCAATAATTATTTGTCTCAACTTTCAGTGGGAATCGACACGGATTCAAAGTGTTTGGTAAGCGTCGCGACGCCATTACTTTGCATGCTCTTATTTTTGCGCCAGTCACCCCGGGTCTGCTGGAAACGGGCCGCTGTCCCGGTGTTTCTGAAAGGACCGCGGCCAGCCGTTTCGCAGGTGAGAATGCCTCCGCCAGCCAGATGTGGTCAGCGGACCGTGTTTTGAAAACCCCTGAATTAAACCGTTATACCAAAGAAGTCGTGGGGATCCGTCAACTTTGCGTTCAAAGCAATTTCTAAACCCCTCTGACATCTCAATGCCGAAACGTTTGGTGTGGGCATCAAAATAGCACAATACATATTCAAAGGTGACTTTCAATTGTTTAGAAGTGGGTGGTAACATCGGAATCTGAAACCGTATTTTCGCTGCATCGAAACAACTTCATAGTTCAAATGACATCACAAAAGCGCTTTGTATTTGAGGATGAAGGCGGAAGTTCTTGCATCAGCATAAGGGCATTTAAGTCGCATACAAGCGCATTTAACACGGACACGCAGCACTTGTGTTTTTCCCAGTTTGGAATCAAAAAACAACCTAGGAGGTCCTTGCCGATATTGAGAGCAATGAATTCACTCTTTCTCGTCTTCGTATATACCATGGCCTTGCTATACGGTAAGTGAGCAAATCGCCATTAATTAACGATGTGATATATGTTTACCATTCAAGCAGAAACCATTGGCGACAAGACATGTATTTCTGACTCTAGCATTACCTTTGCGCTATAGTCTCTCTCAGCATGTGCGTAGGGATCGCGCATATGTCTTTTATTCCTTGATAACATAGTCTAATGTGCAGCCACTAAGTTACAACTAAGCTTAGTATTTCTCACGTTGGTGCCTTCGTTGCTTGTCGCGGAGCGTCTATTGACTTTAACTTGTTCAAAAATTAAGTCGCAATTAAAGCTTGATCAAATATATATTTTTGTTTCTGCTCATTGTCCCCTTCAAAAAGTTGTCTTGCAACTTAGCTGAGTTATATTGATCTCTACAACAATATATGTCGAGAAATGCTCCTATAAAAATAAAGCAATATAAGTTTATAAGCGAATGTGAGAAACATCTTGCAAGACAACTGCATTTCGAAAAGGACAGTCAGTGATTAAAAAGGATCATGAACTTCCCTGTCTTTTTACCAATAAAACAATTCCCCTCAGAGGCTCCGACACAAATTGACGTGCCTAGGGGTATCTAGTTGTCTTCGGCCACCCTCTAGAATTACTTAGACTTGAAGTAAACATATATTTATATTTTTGGTAGGACATTGAACGCGCTGTAGATATCCCTGTGTTTTAAAATAAGCCTCATCAGCACATATCTTCACTGAAGAGCACCGGCATTTTGTATACCAATTTAAAAACATAATTTTTACAGTTAAACGTGAGCGCGTTGGTTTTGATGACTTTTTACAGAAAGAATAAACAGAAAGGACGGACAAGGACGGACAAGGACGAAAGATGTCCGTCCTTGTCCGTCCTTTCTGTTTATTCTTTCTTTATTTATTTGTCTGTTCATGATGTCCGTCCTTGTCCGTCCTTTCTGTTTATTCTTTCTGTAAAAAGTCATAATTTTTACGTTTAGCCTGGAATAGTGTTTTTCACGAAAGAGCAGACTATTAGTGTATGAGTAAAAATGTAGGCTTGATATTCTTGGTACACATGATAACTAGTAATGGACATTTCTTTAATACAAAAGATTGTTGGTTGTTTCGCTTATTCATGTTCAGGTCTTGAAGTCACTTCAGTGTCAGTCACGCCAAACCTAAACTGAAGCCAAAACCATGCAAATCTGGTCCTACTTGGCCCGGTTAGACAGACGTCAGTTCTGCCCCCACCCCCTTGATAGCTTTCTCTCATTGCCACAGAGAGACGTCCCCGAGTATAGTCCATCATTTTCGTGGCGTTTTAGAAGTGAAGAGTTCCCGTGTGCGGCTTCGATCGGCGCTCAAGTAGCTCGCGGAACCACGCACTTCCAAAGAGCTTTGCGGCCGCCCCATTTCGCGACCCGGACGACCCCTGTCAGCCAGAAAATTTTGAGAACCTGCTAAGCCGTCGAAACCCGGTCAGCGCGACTCCCCACCTGCATTGTTCTTTGGGAGTTTGCCGGACGTTCTTGAAAGTTTTTATTTATTTGTCTGTTCATGATGCTTACCCTTTTTGTATTACCTTCCTCTGTGAGAACCAGCGAATAACAGGTCTCGTCGACGGCTGGGCCTTCGCAGCATGCCGACGAAGAAAGCGAGCATCAAACAGTTCGCGACGCGGGTCATTCGATGTTCTTCAATGATTGATTCAGTAGAGATAATCGTTGAAAAGTCTTCCCACCTATGATCCCTTTATTCGGGAAAAATAGCTGTTGGGCCCAGGGTAAATGACGGAAAAAATAGACCCGATTCATTTTTTTAATGTCGTACAAAAACGCACTTTTCATAACATTCCCTAAAATAAACCGGATTCTGCCCTAATGTCGTGAAGGGACTGTTCGTCGGCACTCTATATTGGATATGCTGTGTTATCTGAGATATTTCTTGAATAAATCTTTTTTTTTTTTCGGATTACGCAGCACCGTACGGTACTGTCAATATATTGTATTTTCATGAGACTTGTTGGATGTCATGTTGTGACCGAGCAATGCCCATGCCTTTCGGCTCTCTTGAGTGTACCAATATTTTCGGCAGTTAATATCTTTGTAGGTTGACACGGCTGGGTGTAGGGCGTATTAAAAATCTGCATGAAATGCAACAAATATTCCGCCTGTATTTGATTTTGTTCTGTCGTGTACGGGGCCACCAAAAATTGCTTTCATTTGTTTTCTTTTTTCAAGAACTTGTACATTGATTTTTTTTAAAGCGTGGCGAAATTGTATTCCCCACAAGACACAAAAGAATAAATAAAACGAATAAATTTAGCCTCAACCCCTGTCCGGAATTGCGCTTACACAGGCTGCTACTGCTTTTTGAAGCTATGTCGGCCGACAGCGTAGCTCAGTCGGCCGACATAGACGTACTCTCTCAAACCCAGAAGCACGCGGTGTAAACCACTTTATTCGAAAAGGTCGCTAGAAAGGTCTATAGAATTGACTGCATAGGCACATAAAGTCATATTAGAGAGCTTTCGATGATGGATCCCATACCTCCAATACCCCTGATAACGATAAGGTGCTTGAGGAGAAACGGCGACGGTGTATCGGGCATTGCTGTCGGAGTCATCAGAACGATCGACTAAAACTCTCTAATGATCACTTTTCCGATTTGCTTAACTTGTATGGCAACCGCATTTACTGAACATGGAATATTTGAGGTGAAACACCTAGTGGAAAAGCAGTAATGGTCATAGATACAGCTACAACTAGCTTTTTGTTAGACTGTAGGATTAGAATTCTCCCGGTCCGCAAAGAACAGCAGATTTTGTTTCGCGATGAGTTTGAGTCCATTACAAAAAATGACTCCCTGCTACTTTATCCTGACACTTTGCGACCGTAAACCCAAAACAATCCCAGCTACATCTCAGGTAGGATACACTATGCAACGATGTTGCTTATGTGTAGAAAACAAAATTGTGCATTCCAAAATCGAATGTTAAAGTCGTTCATACATTCACCTTTTTGCAATGACGATTTTCAACGCAAATTTTGTGTTTGAATGTGCACTCGCTAACTGGATGGTTGCAGAATCTGCAAGTCCAGCACGCACAGACGAAAAGGATACGCAGTATAAGTGCGGAAAACGCCAAAAAGAAAAACATATTTCTGGAAGAATCATCAATGGTACCGAGGCCCTCCCGGAACACTGGCCCTGGATGGTCGCAATCTATAATTCAAACGATACCTTACTATGCGGTGGGGTCTTAATTGGCGAAAAATATGTGGTAACGGCAACACATTGTTTTCTGTAAGTGATTTTTGTTTTCCAATTTAATGTATGCATGCATTTTAATTTTTTTTATATAATACTTAATTGCTGTCTGCGTATTCCCAGTCCGTTTTTCGTTAGTTGGAAGGGTTATTCAGCCACTTCTTTTGCAGTGCGGTTTGAGGCACGAAGCAACGGACGCGTTTCTGTTTTTTCAGCGTGAAATTCGCATTTGATGGCGGCCCATAATTAGACAAGAACCCCGATAATCAAATTTCTTTTAAAGTTTAAACAATTATAGTGTGTAAGGCATTCAGATTACACGGGGTGATAAAAGTAGCCTTTAAAATCCAATTTAAATTTCTAACTTGGGGCCAATAAACGATATTGTGCCTGTCAAAGAGGTAGGACGCAAGTTGTATCTCAAGTGTATTAATGAACTTTGTATATTAATTCTGAATATAAAACTTACTGAACTGGGTAACAGTAACTGTCTGCTTTTTCTTTATAATAAAGAAATAAAGACGGTCATGAGTTTTCAGTTCGTCTTGGAACCACACTCGAAACCAATGTTTCTCAATGCAACGCTCCACAAGATCAAGAATACAATGACAATCCTGAAAGCCAGGTGATCTGCGCTGAAGTTGACAGTATCTGCACCCCTATTCAAAACAACTGTGGCCTTTTCATGGTACGTAAATATCAACGGTCCTAACATCATTAAATGTTGTGCATCATGGTTTTGTCTACATTACCTTCACAGAAAGACATTGCTGTTGTAAAATTAAAAACGAAAGTCAAATATACTGACTATATTCAGCCAATCTGCCTTCCGGAAAACTGTGTCGATCCCCCTGCAACTGCAAGCAGCGCATCCTATGCTGCTGGCTGAAGAGGAATATATGGTAAATGGCTTAATTTTAATTTTTACTACAGACGCGAATCATTATAAAATACAACTCCGCAACTCTGAATGATTTCGTAATTTATGTACTAAACTGGTAATTAAAAAAAGTTTCTAATGCGTTATGTGACATATAGCTTGTACGTTGATCAGACGGCGATTGATGTTTCGCAGATGCTGGCATGACCAATAAGGCCCTGGAATGTACAAACATTCGTATGGCCTTTATTAATATTTCAATTTAATATTTGTTTTACTCCCAGAGTACCACAATTCAGATAAATATGAAGAAACAAAATTGGTCGTATTTCGATACGCAAACACACTGATGGAACGAAAATTACATCTCATGGATCAGGAGCAATGCTCTGCCCAAATGAAAAGCGAAGTTCCTGGCTACATCATTTGCACGAGTGGAGGAGCATGTTATGTGAGTAAAGAAAACCCTTGAACTGTGCTCCCTATAACACTCAAATATCATATAATAAATCTTATTTCTTCTTGCATCTAAGTTCACAAAGCATGCAGTTCATTTTAGTGTAACCCTGAAGTCCTAAATGTTTGTCACGCCGATCGTCCGTCCATTCGTGTCATCATTTCACCGCTGTTCAGCAAGGAAATCAACGTTGCCTGTCCTCTCACGTTAAAGGATTGGTTCCTACTCTAAATTGAGCAGGAAAGTCGGAATCACGTTACCTGAGCACTTATTTAGTTTTTTCGTTAAATATGGCAATAAAATTGATGTGCCGTGATTTAAAACCGATTTAAAAGTATTGCAAAATTTACAGGAGAAAAAAACATCCCGTCTTTTGTCAGGCGGTCTTTACGGTAATTTAGCTTTCCCGCTAAATTTAACAGTAAAAACATTGTTTCCCCGCTAAATTTAGCACTGAAATATGTGTCACGAGACTTATACACCAATTCCTTTTTTCTCTAACTTTAGGGAGGAAATGATTGAGCATTTATTCTCCTTCTCTCACGAAAGGCTTTAACGTTTCCTTGTGAAATTGAGACGAGTGTATATTAAATAGTGTATCCTATGCATTGCAGGGCTTTGGAAATAAATGTCGCTCTGTTCATCTGGTGAAAAACTAAGTTTGTCTCAAGCATCTCGATTTGTCTAGAAGATTTGAATGATATGTGTATTAATCTGAGGTGTCTCCAATTTGCTTTTGTTACTAAACTACGTTCTCAACATGATATAGCACCTTGATTGCACATTAATACTTTCTACTCAAAGAAAGGACACGTTCGGGGCCATAATTGGCGCCACCTTTCTTAACTAGATCTGGAAATTGAAGAGACATATCCCCTCCATATGCGCGAGGAACCCGCCACGATCACCTATATTCCGGCACGTAAATTCAATCCGCCGGCGAGGGAGAGCAATCAGATTATTAGTGAAGGGATACATACTTTTTACTATAGACATTATTAATTACCGACAGTGAGGAATATCGTCCAGTCGTGATATTCGGACCGAAGAACAAACAAACGCTCTGTAGATGGACGTTCCGGCGCAGATAAACGGAAAACATGGCGGAGTATTGTTCGGGACACACGATGAAGCATGAACTTTGAGAACTGCTGCGGGTCGAATGACATGAAAATACGTGTAGAGCAAGGCTGGACGCGGGTACACCAGAGCGAAATCGAAAACGATGACTGTGGGAGGGTGCAGACGGGGCCCAGAGGCCGTGGGAGCATTAGATGAGGCCTGGGTGGGTAGCGGTTCACTATATGATGCAACGCGGACGCTGTCGTTACGGACGCTGTCGATCAGCTTCGAATGCGAATCGGCAGGCCACATTTAGGTAATAATAATAGCTTATTCACAAATCCGCATCAAGGTTAAAAAAAAAACGTCTCACAAAAGCACATGCGTGCAAGTGCGCGAGAACGGGTAGTCCATTCAAACTACCTTTTACGCAATACTACAAACATTTTCTTCATACATCTATTCAGTGTTGAGGCACAAAAGAAACAAAACAAAGACAAAAGATACTTGCTACAAATTAGATATCACGGACACACTGCTAGAGAAATTGCAGTGTGACCAATGTGCCAAATACTCAGAAACAACAAAAAACAGTCATTTATTTATTTATTTATTTATTTATTTATTTATTCTGCTTAATGTGCCCACAAACAGCTCGAGGCCTTATTAGTGCGCACATATTAAAACAATAAAAGAACAGATACAGACCAACAAACAAGCAAGACGTGATTTAAAAAAGGTAAAAGGAAATAAATAACACTACGGAGAACAATGGAGAACAGCAGAGCACAGATGTTTGTCAAGCGGCCAACAATGCTCTTCTAAAATTTAAAAAGGGTGGAAACAATTCTAAATCCCTCCTATCTCGATTATAGTGGAGCTGAAGGCGTGTCATCGGGGACTAAACACAAACTTTCTGCGGGTAGAAAAGAAGTGAAAATCTGGTCCACTTTTGGGGAACACTGAAAGAAATCGCACTTAGAAGCAAAGGTGCATCAATTGTAGCGTTCACTATCTTATACAAAACATTCATGTCTCGCGCTAATCTTCTTTTATGCAAGGGTACCAGGTCAAGCACATTAAGTAAGTATTCATATTCAAAATAAATGCCCCTCCGAATCCATCGATCATAAACAATACGCACGAGACGACCGCTGGACTTTTTCTGAAATACATCAATGAGTAGATCCAATGGTGTTCCAGATGACTGAGCAGAACTGAAGTTTAGACAAAACAAGGGCGCGAAATAGATGAATCATGCTAGCGTAAGTACGAAAATTCTGCACCATTCGGGAAATAACGCCTAGCATCTGATAAGAATCATTCACAACTTTCGAAACATGCTCAGTAAACGAAAGGCGGCAATCAAACGGCACTCCCAGGCCACGAATAGTATCAGACCTCGCGATAGCTGAACCTAACATGGTATACGGATACTCAATGCAGCTTGTCTTACGGGCAAAGGAAACAACCTTGGTCTCACCCGGGTTAAGTACTAAATTATTTTTTAAGCACCAGTTTAGAACTGCTCAACATCGTCTTGCATCTTTAGACAGTCAGTAGTTTAATGAATTTCGCGGTAAATCTTAACATCGTCTGCAAACTCCGGCACCTTTGAATGCTGCACAATGTCTACGAAGTCATGCACAAAAATATTGAATAACAACGGCCCCAGGTTTGACCCTTGATCCACTCCAGTATATAAAACATACGAGGCAGAAAAACACCATTCATACAGCACTCTGCTAGGTCTTCCGCCAAGATAACTAAATAACCAACTGCAAAACGAGCAAGTCATGCACAACGCTGAACACTTGGCGAGTAACAACTTATTATCTACGAGATCAGAAGCTTTAAATCAATCGAAATAAATAACATAAACTTGCCCACAGGACGTGACCTTAGGTATAGTATGTTCCCAAAATGATACAAGGTTTGTTTCCACTGAACGCCGTTGACAAAAACCATGTTGGTTGAGACAAAGAGACAACTTAAAATGAAAATAAATATTCTTATACATTGCCCTTTCAAATACCTTAGAAAAAAAGCAAAGAAGAGAAATTGGCCTATAGTTATTAACGCAGTAAGTGCGACCAGATTTATGTATAGAAACAACCACTGCACCCTTCCATCCTTGAGGAAATACATTGGCCTCCAAGGACATGTTGAAAACATGTAGCAAGACAGGGGCAAAAATATCCCTGCATTCCTCTACGATGAAAGCAGGAATTCCGTCCTCATCGCAGGACATTTTTGAAGTGAGCTCATTTATTGCGGAAAGCACATCTCCAAGCGTAAGATTTGGAACTTCCAAGCTGTCGTTTGTTGGAATCAAGTCATGATTCCAGCAAACGACAAAAGCGAGGATAAGGGTCCCAAGGAAAAATACACAATGGCAACTAATAAACCAGCACGTTTTGTCAAGGTATCTGGTGTAAATCTACAAGTAATTGTAATACTGTACATAGGGAATTGGAGAACGCATGAAGATTTCGCTTCATTGTTGTGTTGCACTCGGCCAAGGTACGCAGGAGAGAATAAAAAAAAAAAAGAACTCGTAAGAACGACTAATTAACCTTCAGTTTTCTGTATAGACGATTTCCTCCTTGCCTTTTTTTACGGATTTAGAGGAGTGGAGGGTGTGAAGTTTTTAAGGAAGCTGGTTGACATATGCATGCACATAAAATTTGCGGAGCCTAGTTCCATAGTTAGTCTATATTTTTGGTATCTGAAGCTTTTCCGTGTTTCTCAGTTGCCTTTCTTTGATGGTGTTCATTTTGAATTCGGATGTGAAGTAATAATTCGTCAGAATGACAAATTTGCGCAGTTTATTTACTGTCAATAGGTCAAGTTCTGACAGGTGATCTTCAAACACTATATTTTCAAGTTTGGCTTCATAGGCGATGTTCCGCACCTTCCTTTTAATTAACTTATTTATTCTTTGTTTTTCGAAGTCAGGATGCATAGGTAATAATTCCATAACTTAGTTTTGACTCTGCTAACATTTTCTAAATTAATCGTCTTAGCCAGATGTCTGTGGGGTTCAGTAATCTGTATAAGTAAGATGATATTGTTCGTAAGTGATTTATTAGGTGGTCTTCATAGAAATTCAACGACAGATGCTCGTCAAAATACGTGTCTAGATATTTTGTGCTTCTGGTATATGAAAGTGGCGTACAGCTGCACTGAGTGCATTGAGTTGTATGTAAAAAGAGGAGTTTTTTTAAGGTTAATACGCCTTTGGTGCGTTCGAAAGCATATTAGTTGTGTTTTTTTTTTCATTGTTGTCAAGTATAGAGTTTTCAGAAAGCTAGTCCATTGTATTACTGAAGTCACATCGCAAGCTTTTGACAGCATTATCACGTTTATTTGCCAGGACTAGTGCTGTGTCGTCAGCGTACTGATAGGGATTAGATTTTAGAGGGAGTTAGGCACGACCGTTCATGGAGATGTTAAAAAGCATAGGGTCTTAAACAGATCCCTGAGCCAAACCGCAAGTTGTGTGCAATCAATCCTTAAAACATTTTTCATTCCTAACTCGTTGTGTCCGGTTGGAGAAGTTACTTTTAAACAAATGTAGGAAGTTCCCTTGAAAGCCAAGGTTTTCTATGCTATGTAGTAATATGGAATGATCAATTGTGTCAGATGTTTTTGTCAGGTCAAGAAGTATTGGAAATACTAAATTATTAGTATATATATTTTAGTTCATGTCATATGTCATGGCTTCACTTAGAAACGCAGTACAAAAATGTTGCCGAAAGCCTTATGGGGTGGGGTGTTGCTCATTAGTGAATATTGCATTCAAATATAGGCCATAATTTTTAAAGCAACTCTTTCCTTTATCTGCGAGATAACGGACATTAGTGCGGTGGGCCTGTTGTCTAATTCATTTTCCCCTCTTTTGTTTATAAGCAAGTCGGACTATCGCAGCTTCAAGGTTATCGGATATAATACCTGTCTTCTATGTTCCATTTATTACCGCCAGCAAAACATGATTTAAGTTGGTATAGTTTTCTTTTATGTCTCGTGTTCTTAGTTGATCCTATCCCGCCGGTTTTATGATTGACATACTGTTAATTATATATTCTAGATCTGTATTTGTCGTTTCTGGTATAGGTATGCCGAGTAATGTACATTCGACAGTGGCTTTCCAGTGTCTGTGCATTGTTTGCCGGCTCGCGCAAATCTTGTACAACTTTAGCGAAGTTGTTTTGATATTGTTACTGAGAGTATAGTGATCGCTGACTCCAAATTTTTTTTTATACATTCCTCAATCCTGTCTTCAGGTGGTTTTCCCATTATTTGATTCACAATATTACGCGTTTTTTTATGTTTTTCTTACAATATGGAGTTGTGTCACATTGAATTTCTTTTTTGCTAGTTTAATCTTCTTCGTCACTCTATTCCGTACCTGCCTGAACTCTTCCTTTAGTGTTCCATCTTTGGAGTTTTGCTTACATCTATTCCAAGATCTATTTTTTTCATAACTTAGTTCTAGTATTATGTCGTTAACCAAGACAGCTCCTGGCTTCCGCTGTTCCAGTCTAATTGTTTTATAAGAGCTGTCATATATTCCTTTGAATATGGCTATCACTCTTTTGAAAAGGTTTAGGTGGTCTAGGTGCAGCAAAGCGCTTCAGTTATGTATTTTATTATTGCTGTCTATTTCTTTTCATCTAGAAATTTCTTGAATTGTTTTCCCGGGGAGCTTTTAGTTTCGGCCTCACGCATGAGTTTAGAGCGACAAAGTAGTGCTATGCTACTTTGTGTTTTATTATCGCCACGATAAATTTGTCGGTACAAGTACGCAGTATTATATGCTCGATACAGCTTTTCGTCACTTTATCACCTAGGTATTCTTCACGTGTGAAACCGTCAATCATATTTTTCAATTCGAAGTTTTACAATACATCAAGATTTTCTATTACTCCGGGTTTGCTGCGGCACATAACATCGATGTTGAAATCGCCTGCTAGTACGACATGGTCATTGTTATTAAAAGTCTTCAAGAGTTTTATGAACTCATCGTAGAATAAGTTTCGTCGTAAATGACACTTCAGGCCTATGAACAGTGAAGGCCAGAACTTTTGCATGATTTATAAACACCTCCGCACGGTCCGAAAAACAATCATTTTTATGTAAGCTAACATTCTCCCTCCTTTCTGCCATCTCGACGTATTGAAGTTGAATAAAAGCTATCTGCATGAAACGGTAACGGTTCTTTTGCTCCAATGTTTACTTCAGTTATTATTATTTCATTGATATCTTCGAGCGAACTAGCAAGGTATACGTTAGGTTCATCCCAATGTTTTTTTTTTTTTGTTTTTTTTTAATGATTCTGCTGTTAATTTAAAGGCCATGTAGCTGCTCGTCCTCCATTCCTATTTTCTACTATATTTTTACTCATCTATTCCAGTCGTTAAGTATGCTACACGTGGCACACTTACCACGTGCAGGCAAAGCGAAGGATCACCGCCGATCCTTCGCTTTGCCTGACCAGTATTTTTTCATTTCTCATGCAAAAAAACCTGTAACCCCTCTTCCTTGCACACTCCTTTCCGTTCCAGAACAACCATTTCTGCAGATTTGTCAACTCCTCGTTGATGAAGATATGATTCTACTTTAGCGCTTTGCCCTTGCTGACTTACCGGTCTCATTCCGATATTTCGTTGAATCGAACAATGATCGAAGCATTCTTATCATCTCTCGCTCTTAGTCTCTGCATGGCCTTGACCTATCTGGTTCTGGGAAAGGTAGGTCTAGCCTCGTTGCTAGATATTTCAGAATTGTTGGTAGGTGTTTGTGTACGTTTGGGACAATCCCGTGGATGGCACTGTTTCTCGTTCGTTCAAATCGGTCTATATATTCAACTGCCCACTCTAAGTCTTTTATTCGCGCATCACTGTCAAAAGTAAGCAGCTCGATCTCCTTTGTTCTTTTCCTGAGGTTCTTCGTGACAGTTGTCAGTGAGCCGATGTTTTTTAGGAGATCGTCGTACTTTTTAGATAGCAATTTCGCTGATTTTTAATAGATTCAGTGGTTTTCTCTTGATCATCCAGTTTTTAGATCTTAGTGTCGTGTTGCACAGACTGCAGATTCAGCTTCTTTTCGATGTTTTTAATCGTAGTCAAAACCTCGGTCATCTTTTTGTTTGTCCGCACTTTTGGCGCCAATATAGCCGCTTGTCCGTAATCTGAAGTTTCGGCAGTGCCCTGGGAAATCTTGTCACATCCCTGCTGTTTTTGACGTTGGGTGTTCAGTTTACGCGTTGCACAGAGCCAAGTCAGCGGATTTACCGCTTTTTCGTATTTTGATGTGACTCCCGAGCACTTCCCGATATGGCACAAGCTGTTGCATTTTGTGCATTTTAACACTTGGCTATCATCTGTCCCTTCTTTCATACATCCTAAGCAAACATTTTTTTCGATGTGAGAAATGGCTCAGTACGGGAGAGCGCAGTCCAGCGGAGTGTGCGGTGCAATGAAAAGAAAAAAAAAAGCAGCACCCACCAGAGGAGCAGAAAACAAAATGTTACGATCCATTCAGTCACTCCGCCGGACTGCGCTGGTTCCCAGTTAGCTGTTTACTTATATGGGCTATATCCCGCGATGTCTAGTAACCTGGCCCGCTTTCTTTCGTTTTCTGAGCAGCAGAAAGAGAAACACGGCTCCTGAACTTATCATACAATCTCTCCGATGCTGCTCTGAGATTAGAGATCCACAAGGCACATGCTCCCGACAATTAAATTCTTTATCCAGTTGTGTCACAGCAGCGATTGGACAAAAACCACAACCCAAATGTCTGCTAAGGTTTCGATGGTAACCGGTCCAATGTTCAAGTGATCATGCTCTGCTCCTGTCTACTAAATTAACTCTATTCAACAAACGTCGCCCACGAGTGTTTTTCACGCATTTTGCTTGATAACGTCAACCAGCTCTGAGAATGAAAGATTAAAAGAAATAGTTCCTAAGATTACACTGCACTAAACATACTTCTGCCTCTGTAGAATTCGTTGTGAGTTCGGCTGCGCTTCCTTTGTGACGCATGTTTATGTGAAATGCTCAACATTTTAACTCACTATTGGTGTGTGACCAGAATAATCAGCCCGCACTCTCATTGTGTCACTAAGAGGAACTTTTAGTTATTCACTAAAAGCACGAGCTAAGGAAAGAGTTAGCATGAAGGATTAGTTGTTTTTTGTCGCTCGCACTTGTCATAAAATGAAGTATCATAATTTCTTGTTATGTCCAGAAGTGCACCTTGACTGCGATCTAGATTGTAACGTACTTGTACGTTCAGTTAGATTCTACACTGTTCACAACGAGTAAAATTACGAGCTTCTTTTCTAAACGTCTGTAGAACAGCTCCCAATAGCAAATACTAACAACATGCTTACCTGAACAAAACAAATTCTTACTTCCCCTTGTTTATATTTTATTGCTATCAAAGGAAATATTTCGAGAGCCAACAGTTGTGCAGCTTAGTATGCATCAATGTCGTAAAGGTCGCGTTGCAGTGCTCGGTCTACAAATATCAAGGCTGGTCAATATATTGAAAGTATACGCGAATAACGGGTGATATGTACTAGTCTTATAATAGAAGCATTGAGAGATATAATCTGTTTTAACCCTTGTGGTCAACAAGAAAACTTCTCAAATAGATGTTTTCAATTTACAAGCAACACCTTGATGTCTGTTCTTTTGTTCGTTCTAAGTGTTTTTGTCTGTTACAGCAGAACGTTGGAGTCCTTTACGCTTATGCGCTACAGCCTGAAAACCTGCAAAACGCTGTAACATTAGCACTAGTACTGCTAGTAAATCACGCTGAGAAACGTGTTACGTTTGATAAACACATATTTCTAATCTTTCTGTATAGTATAAAAAATAAAATTGAGTCTAACATTTTATTCTGTTTTATTTTCAGGGAGACAGTGGAGGACCCTTGATATACGAAGATAACGGCCGGTGGACTCTTATTGGTGTGATTTCTGACGGACCAGATAACTGCCTTTACCCGGAGAGACCTCTACTCTTTGTGAAGGTCTCGCACTTCGTAGACTCGCTTATTTCGAAATTTATGGAGCCTGGAAGTCACAGTGACAAAAATTCCACGTGTGCTACGGAGAATGCCCGTAAAGAGTGTGTAACGAAGTTCTATCAGTTCTACAACCAGTCTGTAGAACCATAAGACATCCTGAAGGCATCTCTACCTTTCATCAGTTCTACCACATGTCTATAGAACCTTAAGACATCCTGAAGGCATCTACCTTCTATCAGTTCTACAACATGTCTGTAGAACCATAGGACATCCTAAAGGCACACACCTTCTATCAATTTTACAACATGTCTGTAGAACCAGAAGACATCCTAAAGGCATCTAATTTAATAAAAAAAATATTTACGCCTGTGTACAGTTTTATTTGCCTACATTTATATTGTTACTTGCTTCGTGATGAAAACTGGTAATGAAAATACGGTGAGCGAGCCGGGGTGCTGGTGGAAGTGGCCTCTACTGTTATTTTCTACCACTGTCAACTGGATTTCCTTCGTCTGGCGCAGTCACCGGTTACATTCATAATGAAAACTGTCTTTGCTCGTGCTATGCTCGTGCTCAAAATGCAATGAAAGAACCTTTTTTTCGTTTTGTTTTTAGCAAGAATCTTTTATTCGTAGTTTGGAGATGACATCCCTGGTCACTGTAGTGATATTTCCTTTCCCAACAGGGTTATTCCGAAAGCTCCTTGGAGATACCATTCGCAAATTGATTAAAGCAAAATGTTCAAAAACGCTTATTTTGAAAATCATAATTCGCAGGATGCAGCACTTAACGTAGCGATCGATTAAATTTGTTTAGAAGACAGTAAACATCACGTATTATTATGTTGTCAGGTCGGTCTGTCACGTGATACCATAAAGTCAAATGTCTTCGCGTCACTCGACCTGGTCACGAGACGCCGTGACGTCACGTTACTTTACGTCATGCGACGTGGACATGTGACCTGACATCACTCAACTCCGTCTCGTTTCGCGAAGTTCAGACATCAAGTCGTGGTCTTACGTAATACCGTAACATCACGTGACCGGATAGAAGCAACAAAGAATGTGCAGGCCAGCTGGTGAACGTTTAACATCTTCAAATCCTCACGCAGAGGAACGAAAAGGAGGGTGACGCACAAAGGGAGCTCAATCACACCTGTGATACTTATTCCCGCTTCCTTGTTCTTATGTACGTGCCCCAACCGATCCTCCGTCGTAGGAATTCCGATACCACCCTACAAAAGCCTTTCCTGCTCCTAACCTTGAGCGGAATTAAACTTCGCGACCGAAAAGCCTAATCTAACCCCAAATCCACGGTCATTCCTTCGATCCCGGCTCAAACAAACCAGTAAAGCGACATCGGGCCCTTCTTTGCCCGTTACTGGTGATTGGCCAGATACTAACGTCAAAATTTGACCTCGACCTCTCGTCCAACATCCAAAAAAACAATTGCTCTGACATGTCTTGTCATCCTACCTCGGCAAACCTCACTCATGAGGGCCCTCACTCACCCTCACTCACCCTCATCTTCACAGGTGAGGTGAGGGTGAGTGAGTTTCTGAACCAGGAAAATTCATGAGCGTGAGGGTGAGCGAGGGCCGTGAGGGCTGTGACGGATGTGAGGACCGTGAGTGCGTGAGGGCCGTGAGGGCGGTGAGTGCGTGAGGAGTGTGAGGGCGGTGAGTGGGCGTGAGGGCCATGAGTGCGTGAGGGGTGTGAGGGCTGGGAGTGCGGAAGGGGTGTGAGCGACATGAGTGCGTGAGGGGCGTGAGGGCAGTGAGTGGCATGAGTGCGTGAGGGGCGTGAGAAGCGTGAGGGCGGTGAGTGCGTGAGGGCGGTGAGTGCGTGAGGGGTGTGAGGGCCATGAGTGCGTGAGGGCCGTGAGGGCGGTGACTGCGTGAGGAGCTCCTCAGACGGAGCAACTTTCTCAGCAAATTGGTGTTGATGGCGGGTTGTTCCCTAGCTTTTCCTAGATCGGCACGAATGGCTGAGATCCGGTTCGGCTCGAAACAAGCGAGCAACTCGGAACAATTATGAAGACGTTTGAAGCGGCTACATCCAGTCAGAAACGCGATATTTTCACGTGATATCTCATGCCGGTGATGATGACAACAAAAGACATGGTTCTGGTTTGATATTGATCGTTTTTGGAAATAAACTGTTTCACAAAATGCATTAGTATTCTCAACGTAATTTAAATGGATAAAAACACGTTTATAGCACGTAATTGTGCGTCTAAATAGTGGAAGGAAAATAAAGTTTCATGATGATGATGACAAATCGCAGCAATTGGTTGCTGCGTTAGAACGCGGGCGGCCCGTGTTGCTGGTGTTGCGACGTCAAGTTTTTGGGCGAAATTGCCCCGATCTGAAGCGGGGCTTGGCGTGAGGGCCATGAGTGCGTGAGGGGCGTGAGGGGTGTGAGGGCCTTGAGGGCGGTGAGTGTGTGAGGGGTGTGAGGGCCATCAGTGCGTGAGGGGCGTGAGGGCGGTGAGTGGCGTGAGGGCCACGAGTGCGTGAGGGGTGTGAGGGCGGTGAGTGCGCGAGGGCTGTGAGTGGCGTGAGGATAATGAGTGCGTGAGGGTCGCGAGGGGTGTGAGGGCCGTGAGGGCGGTGAGTGCGTGAGGGGTGTGAGAGCCATGAGTGCGTGAGTGAGGGCGGTGAGTGGCGTGAGGGCCATGAGTGCGTGACTCCCTGAGGGATGTGAGGGCGGTGAGGGGCGTGAGGGCGGTGAAGGGTGTGAGGGCCATGAGTGCGTGAGGACCGTGAAGGCGGTGAGTGCGTGAGTGGCGTGAGGGTTATGAGTGCGTGAGGGGCGTGAGGGCCGTGAGGTTCAGTGAGGGTGAGAGCGACTGTGAGGATGAGGGTGAGTGAGGGGCTGAAGGTGAGTGTAGCTCTGAGGATGAGGGTGAGTGAGGGGCTTAGGTGAGTGTGGCTGTGAGGGTGAGGGTGAGTGAGGGCGACCTAAAATGCCGACCTTTGCTTGTCATGATGTATGCACGAACGATCAAGCAGACGGCGGATAAGCTATTTTCTGTGGGTATGAGATATCGTTAGGAAGCGATCCCGCGGCTTTAAACCAGACTTGGAAGTAATCCGTTACAAGTAACGGAATTACTTGTAATTAATTACTTTTCTAGTAATTTTGTAATTAATCCGTTACTTTTTTGAAAATGTAATTTGTAATCTAATTTCATTACTTTTTCAGTAACGCTTTACTGAAATTACTCGTTACAATTCTTCCGCCCCGTCAAAGGGAAAAATAGAGTGGAAGAAAGGCGATGCAACGGCCTCCGCGCCTTTAGCATAGTAACACAAGGCGGGGGTTCGCTCACGAAGAGATCTAGTGCTGGCGAAGGAAAAGAATTCACGGAAACCGCGACAGCCCAGCCAGAGCCCGTTTCTGGACTTGTTCGTACGGTCAGTCAGGCTGGGAGGATTCGACTGTCTATATGAAGGCAACACGCTTCGACTTGGAAAACGAACGGACTGCTTCGAGCGCACAAAAGAGCAGAAAACTAATGGCCCATAAAACCGTCGAGTGGGAGTCGCGAAGAGTACGAACGTGGACACTGTGACCGTGGTGCAGATGTCCGCTCGTCCCCCGCCCCCCCCCCCCCCCCCCCCTTGCTTTCCGCCCAACCCCCTGCGTGTTGTCCCCCAAAAACCAAACAGCATTTTTTTTTTTTGTCACACGAGACCGTCCTTTGCTTGTCGATGTTCTGCCTACACACACACACCCCGCAGACAAAAAAGAAATTGTAACAAGAACTTGACCCTGTTCATCTTTGACAGCGCTGTGAAAGCTAAATACTGGCTGGACCAACCAGCTTTGTGGCTTCTGTCACTTGACTTCGCACTATAGCGGATGCGTAAGGCACAAACATAAGGGAAGCGATGGCAGCAGCTCATTGTAACAGAAAACATGTAGCGTCAACACTACTGTCAGTTCAAACAGTAACTTTGGACAGCAGGCGATAAGGTGGCCGGGGAGCACAGCCAAAATGGCTTGGGACTTCGAAGCCGAACCCATATTCCTAGAAACGAGAATATTGGGGTTCTCGTCAGTGGATTGTGCCTACGGGAACTTACTCCGACATTTTAGGGAAAGGGAACACAGCCCATAAACAGTGGCTGACTTGGACACAGTAGGGTGCCTACACATGAGTTAAGGCAGCGCAAGGCGGCGTGCACGCCGCCTTGCGCTGCCTTGAAGCCTGCTGTTCACTGAAAATTGTGCTTTTTTAATATTTTATAAACTGAAAAATCAACTTAACTGAAAGATTGTGGATGAAGTTTTCGTGTGAAGTTTCAGTTTTTATTAGTTTGATGACCAAGAAAAAAGATCAAGTGGGTCAAGGCGGGATAACAACCTTCAACAAGCGGTACTCTGAAATCTGCCCAAACGCAAGTACCGCATGTAGGTCTTACAGCCAGTTGGTTTTAGTGGCTAAACCAGCCCCTATTGAGGCAATATATATATCAATCGTAGAAAAACCACATCTTCGGGAGAGTCGTGTTCTAAAATTTGGCGATGCCATATTTCGAATGGTGTGCGTGCCTCCGCCACCCATGTGCATTCGTCGCATGTTCATGGGATTCAGTTCTGTCCCAGTGGACTGCGCTAGATTCGTTTATATCGAAAACCCGTTCCAGTTTTTTACAGCCTTATAGATCCATCGTCGTAAAATTATTATGCTAAAATAATCGGTAGATATATTACTGAATCTGTTTTATTTTTTGATGGCGCCCAAAATTCCCCCCACAAACACGCAGTAGATTTTGCAGGTATTTTGCGTGTTTCTTTAAAGTAACGCAAAAGTAATTGAGTAAAGTAACGAAGTAATTAATCAGTTACTTTTTACGGGGAGTAATTTGTAACGGTAATCCACTAGTTTTTAGGCCAAGTAATTGTAATTGTAATTAATTACTTTTTTGGAGTAACGGGCACAAGTCTGCTTTAAACATATACTCACCGCTCCCAAACTGCGGTTTATGTAGTTCGAAACAGCCGCTAAACTAGAATTTTTAATGTGCCTTCGGAGCTACGGATCGCTGACAGATAAAGAGAAAAGGCTGAATTTGAGTATGCAGCATACGACCTACGCGATGTGCAGATAGGCTACCTTTTGTTCGCTAAGGCAATGAACGT